CAATTGTTTTGATTAATGACCAACAGAACAACGATTATATCTTTAGACTCGGATTTGGACTTAAGCACAAGAAAATCTACAACGCCACATACATAGAAACGGACTGTAAACTGACTAAAACTGATACTAAGCAATTGTATATTGCATTAGACAATACAAATATATTTGGCAAGAACAGAATAATAAATTTGGAGGGCAAATTATTTCCTGGTTAACTTTATGTTAATTTTATTGTGACTATAAACAACTAATGCTTCTTATTTATTATTCTTGGACCAATTCATTTTCAAAAAGCACGCACACGCGTATATCCATCGCAATTCTTTAGTAGTTAGTGACGAATTTACTTTTTACTTCAACTTCTCATTGGTTACAGAACCGAACTGTTTATTTTTCAAGTCCTATCTGTCTAGTAAAAAAACTTAAATTTTTCAGAAAACAGTTGTTTCTAGAAAGACTGACACTGGTGGCAACTCGTTGAAACCAACAAACTAAGTTTTGTTTACGTTTGTGTAATTAGAATTTCACCACAGTTTCCATTGTCAAAATAGAACACGAAAGTATTGGCAAAATTATAGTGTTTTGCTATTTTATGGTTTTCAAGGCGTTTTTTATTAGACAAAAGTTAAATAAAAATTGGCGATTAGTTAGACGATTTTATTTGGCTTTGCCTACTGTTTCGACAATATTGCAACACATGCTAGAATGAGGGATACATATACTTGCTTATACAGGGTGTTTGGAAGAGAATGGGCTATATTTTACTGATATAACTTACTTAACGACGTTCATAAACGTGTTAATATATACCATTGTTGTGTTTCATTTAAATAAAGTCAGAACTAGCATCCCACAGGACAGTCTACTTTTAAAAAATCGCACTGTATATCCCACTCGTTTTCGGACACTATGGACATGAGCTTACTATTATATTGAATTAGAAAATTCTCTTGTCTTTAAAAAACAATGAAGAAATTTTACTTAGTTCAACATTATTATTTATAAAAAGTAGTCTTACACTCCGTATTTACACTCCGTACAATATTTGCCGAGATAGAATATCAAGAAAATAATAAGCCAATAAAGTTCTGTTATCGGAACTACTGTAACAATTTACCGCCCCAGGGGCGCTTTGAAATTTTCCGCGTTATTTTCAGAATAGTAAAATGTATATCATATAAGATAAATATATGTATATTTATACTCTTCGACTGTGAATTAAATTCCTTTCTTTTATTTTTCACCTCCATTGATTTATTTTAATAAGAAATTACACTGAAAATGTTCAGGGCGATACACTTACGAAGAAACACGCCTTCTAACTGCAAAACACAGTGTGCATTGCAAGCTGTTACGGGAAACGCCACGCCGCCAATGTCTTTCTACCACGGGTGTCGAATGCAGTTAATCCCAAGAAAGTAACGCAGGGGTCTTCTTGGAATTCTACATAAAATATCGTACTATTCTATATCAACAAACATACGTACATAAATTAATGTATTTCTTGTTCAAAACAATATTTTTTTCAGTGCAGACATCTCATCCAAGTTAGATAAAACATTCGAATCTCTCTTAACAGAAACATAAATCTGTCCATACAATTTACGAGGTGTTTATTATTTTACTTAAGTGTGTTGTATGTTTCACGAAATTGTAGTAAAAGTGTAATACTGATACACTTTACTCTTCTACAATAAAAGGATTAAACTGAAAGTAAAAGTAAAAGCAGTAATAAATGAAAATGTTAATTTGAGTAATGTTTCTACAGGGAGTTAATGAACTTATGTCAAAAATTTCAAGGGGTGAAAAAGGAGCAAAAACCGAGTAAACTGATGTCACAAACTTGTACCGGAAATTTATGGTCATTTAGAAAAAAGCTAATTAAAAATGTGTTTAAAACTGTTTTGGAACTGCTGAAATACATGTATTTTATCGTGGTGAGTACTCACAAAAAATTTTGCAACACTTCTTACGAGTTTGTAGGTTTCTTATGAAGCCGGACTATATTCGAAAAGACAGTTTGTAATACATTGTTGTAGTAATTGCTGTGCTGTTTTTCGAGAGTACATTTAATAGCCGTATTTCCAAGTTTTCTTATGAAAATGGCGCATTTATTTAGTAATTGCGAATATTATGATATGCCCATAATTTATGGCGAAGCAAACGAAAATGTCCACAGAGCTTGTCAAGTGTAGCGTGCAAGATATTCTGACTACAAGAAAAATGTTTATTAAAGCAACTAATAAAATTTATGTCTAACATTGCAATAGCTAGGATGTCTTACTCGTCTTTCATACAAATAAGGTATTAAATTATGGCCAGTAGTATATGAAGAAGAATGATTTTTGTTTTATATTTAGAAAGTGAGAAGAAAAAAGCGACGGAAAGTTTAAAGGGAAAGTTAATATATAATTAAATCTAAAGCTGATGCGGCATTTTAATGTTAACAACAATTACTGCACATATGTGTATGTCCAGTGAACATGAACTTGCAATTGAGTATCCTGCTATTTATCCCACAGCCTTGTTTGTGTGCAAGTACATAAACAAGGCCCACAGTCAAAATTTTTAAGACCACTGGATTTCTCGGGATATGGATTAAGAGTTGCCTAATCTACAGGCTGATCCTGACTTTCACGTCTTGGTTACTAACCCTAGATTCCTAAATATAAATAATGTTACAAACTGTCAGAGTAAAAAAACACACAGGACGCAGATGTCGACTGGCGGGTCTACTTCTGAATATGATTGGAGCGGGTGAATGACAGACGGCGTAGGCGTAAATAAACTGAAAAAAATTATTATATTTCTGTCTGAGAATTTTTCGGGTAATTCAATATATTACGCTGGATTCGAGAAAATAAACAAATGAATCGTTTTGCGTATATAAGCGTACTATTTTCACACTCCAGATCCGTCTGATCTCAAATAAATATTTGCGTAATATTATACCCTTTAGTATTTATTATTAGGATTGTGCATATCGAAAGTTGGGGATATCCTGGCGAACAAAATAGTAAATATTCAAATAATTCTTCAGCACCTAACTAAAGTCGTTCTATGTGAGCATTATAAGGTTAAATTGTCTAAGTATTGTATTATATTTTTATTATAAAGCGATAGCTAGAATAACTTTTGTTTTATTTCAAATAGAGCTTTTTACATGGGTGTAGGACTTTTGCTAAATAGGACTAGGATGCAAGTTCTATGGGGTTCTCATGGCTTTTTATAAGATCCGCAAAGTAAAAAAAGTAATTTTGGTGATAAGTATGTCTCACTTTTGAAATATTATTCTCTCCATCAAGAGTTGATAAATATAACTCTCGGCGCAAATATATTAATTGATTTTTTAAAATTAACTCGGATGGGATACTATAAATCACGCTTTATGATCTCTAAAGCGACATTTGAAACGTTCCTTGGACAGTAAAAGTCGGAAATACATTCGCATAAATCTACACGTAATTAAATTATTCGTCTGTCGTAGCGTTACTAATTATTCCGTAAGACAGGCGATTTTTGTAATACTTGGCAAAATTTCTACTTTAATTTGACACGGGTCAAAACCCGCATAAAAATAGAATCCTTTTGAACTGCACTATATATAAAACGAACTCTGTAGAAACCCGAATATTGCAATTAATAAGATTAATAAAATGGGCTGAGGACGGAAACCCGACAGTTAACATTGATCTAAATATAATAGGAGCGCTTATTTTTGTAATATTGTCTTTGTGGTGTTGCTTGGATACATTTATTTGGAAATGTTGCATCTGAAAAATAGAATAAATAAATCTACCCGCCAAAACGATCGATCACAGTCAAAGGCTAATTTTTCTTCTATTGTTATCCAACTAGTAGGAATTTTTGACCAGATAAATGTGAACATACCGAATACCTCGAAAATTTATATCGGAAAAAAATTGTATAAGTTTCTGCTATTTCTGTATTTTAGGTAACAAATTTAAGGAGATTTGCGATATTACAGATTTCTAAATTTTAAAATAAAGGTACATGGGTTCAAGATAACAAAATATGTTCGTACATGAAAAAATAAAGATTAATTGTAGATAATAATATCTAGCTTGGCAACGATTTTTAAGTTGATCACTCACAATATCTAACTCTACGTCAACTTTCAGCAAAAATATACTTTGACTCTGTCAAAAACAGATCGATCTGTGATAGGCATAACGAACACGAAAATATTTTTTATAACATGTTTGTTACCTATAATGTGTGATGCGTCACAAAAAATTCAAGAACCCTAACATAGTTTTCCTTATATAGAAAACCGTCAAAAACATTTGCTTTACAGTTAAAAAATTCATCCTTCGTTTTTAGAAAGTTGCAATAAAAATAAAGCCACTTTCCACATCATGCATACAAACAAACTCTGTGATTATATTTTTCAAATATGAACAATCACTCAGGTCAGTGAAATGAGCGAAGATGTAGTTAACAAGTTTTGGTATTATGTAGTTTATAGAAATGTTTAAAACAAAAGTACATTTTGAATTTAAAGACTAGAATAGTATGGCCAAAAGAAGGTGAAGGAAATATCAAAATTATTTTGATAAATATAATTTGAATTGCTCACAGATTTAGTTTTTATGTTGTTAAAAGCTCTTAGTACATAAAAACAATGTTTCTTTGAGTAGCAGAATTCTCAAATTATAAATAATAGTTTATATTTTACAAATTTTATTTTATTTTAATTAAACACGTTGTAGTTTTTTTATCTCCACTATGCCACTTTTCTCTTAACTTAATTTTTTGTACATCCGCAAAATGATAATTGAAAGAAAATGTGGAACTACAAATTAGTTTTTCTTCGCTACATCGCCGTGATATCTGCATATCTCACTGAAGCTATTTTTCTGGCACAAACACAAAAAACTTTACATGCACTGAGTGACATGTCGACACTACGTTATCAGTCCATACAATAACTGTCAAGCGAAAATATTAATTGGTCCTATTTCATTAAAGATACTAACACTTACAGCTGACATCGTGGATAGTTGCGGCGTAAACTAAAAACCAAACCAAACAATAAACCGTATCACCAGAAGGTTGGGGGAGTAGACAGCTACTGTTTGTAATGCAATCTCTTCTGCTTTATATATCAACCAAAAATAAATTTTACGCGCCGAATGATTTGCAACACTGTATATGTGAGTATTTCTTAAGTTTAATGGTATAGTCTGGTCAGCTCCCAGGCTGATACTTACAAGTAATAATAGAAAATGTAGTTGGTTAAAATGTTAAAAATCGTATTTCACAATTCTTTTCTGTTTACATTTTGGACAAAGACCGTTAAATTTAGACGCTCGTTTTGTCGCTTGTGATTTTTAATTGAGGGATCACTTCATTATTCCAGTCAAACAAATAAAAATTTTGACAGGGATTCGCTTTTGGCCCGCGGCCCGCGTAATAAGTTTTTTTTTATGGAACATTTAGAATTCTTAGGAAAATGTATGCATTGTGTTTTAAAACTGTTTGGAAACCGATAGGTACAATTGTGAGAGGGAATGAGCAACTAATAGAATAAATTTCGGTTCATTTTTTTATTCGTTGGAGTGAAAAATTTTAAAAAACAAGGAATTGCCTACTGGTAAAATTGATACAGACAGACTCACAGAATAATACAGATGTGTTACATTGTTGAAAAAATAACGATACAAAATACCTTTACTTTATTTTTTAAGTATCATAAATATGCATGTTATAATAATAGCAGTGATGAATATGATACTAATCGTGAATAATATAGCTTATACCATAATGATGTTTTATGATCCGAACGACATGCTGGCATCAGTTAAGGATCTTCAAAAATTTAGATATGAATATTTGCCATGCGATAAAACCGACATTTTTATTTAATTTAATTTAATTATGTTACTTGAAAATAGTAAGCAGATTCGTTGACGATAGATATTGTTTACGTACTGTTAGATATCTTGTGTCAAAGTGAAAACAGTATCTCTGTATCTACTTACTGACAAATTACTGAACATTTTGTAATTTAATAAAACGAGTGATTTAACTGATGTTGTGGGTTCTCTTCTACCAGCAAAATCAGGAAGTCTGTTCTATATTTAATGTTTTAAAACTAGTGCTAAATAAATCAATGCGTCTATAATTTCCTACGATTTAGACACATAACAGGAGTTGGTGAAAATTGCATTACATTGCTATATGTGAAATAGCAAGAATGAAAGCAAGAAATGTTGATCATTATACGTCAAAATATATCAGGACAATTTATATTTTGCTATTCGTTTGCTCTTGACAAATCTTTCCAAAACACAATACAGTCATCAACGTGTGTAACAGAAGCAAACAGGTTGAAATCATTTGCATATAATCGAAGATTATAAGATTATCACAAATGTTGTTAATTAATTTACTGAGTAATAGCTGGCCACGAACTGATCCCTGTGGAGCTCCCGAAGTAGCATCAGCTTCAGTTCCTTGTCCACAGTGAAACAGGACGAAGATTGGAAAAGTAATACCATAACTGAAAGTTATATTAAAGAGATATTTTGTTCTTTTCTTATAATTAAAGCTTCAATTTTTTTAAACGTTGGGAAATGCATTGATTAATATTTAATAATGCAGTCAAAATAAAATATAGTAATATGTAGGTACTTAACAAAATCTCTGTCAACATAGTTATGTACGATTAATATTGGATATTAACACATTTCATTGATGGTTAAAGTTGCTTGAGATATTTATTCCACACATATCGATACATGAAAATAAATATCAGTTACAATACAGGGTGATTCGTTTTTCATGGCTCACCATTGGTTTTTGGGAAACCGTAAGATATACATGGTGGCTCAAATTAGAAAAAAGGTAGCGTATTTTCAGGATCATTAAAGTAAACCAAACAGATCAAAGATATCTGCCGCCGTTAATGAAATATTGTGAAATAACTAAAAATAGCAATTTTAGAAAATGCAATCTAGCGTCCTTATTTCACAACTCAAAGAGCTTTAATTTGGTACTGGGGGATAAAAAGTTACAAGGGATCCATTTTCGTCGAAAGAAAATTTTTACGGCCACTAGTTTCCGTTATGCAACATTCAATTGTTTTTTTTTTCTTACGCGTGCCATGTTGGATCTTGACAGTAACAGATAGAGGATAAAATTACAATCACGTCAACATATAACACTACTATTTTATTTGAAGAATAACCCATAAAATTAAAGAAATTCAATAATGTACTTAAAAAATTAATAAAATCGTTGTTCTCGATAGATTTTAGACTATCATATAAGTGTATTAGTTCTAATTGTTTATGTTATTAATTCGAAAACATTGATGAACAACTTTCTCAATGGCTTTAAATATTTACATAGGTATAATATTTTTTGGCAGGATTAGGTATGTACATACAGAATGTGAGACTTTGCCAAGTTCTCTAAAATCGACATTTTTATTAAAAATCTACCATAGGTACCTAAATATTTGAATATTTATTAGAAACCGTCGCGTAGTCGGTTAGAAAATGTTTTTTCAGCTAAACAGTAAGTGTGACTTGCATATTACTTTCGTAACATCAATTAATTGGAGAAGAACTAAGTACATGTCAAAAACAAATTAGTTAATTGCTGCGTGCTGAAATATTACTCCTGAGAGAAAATTTAAGTGGGCGATTACATCTCGAGATGTTGGCCGTCATTACTAGCAGGTCGACTAACTTCGCCTCATTAGAAGGACCATTTGTCTCATTTTAGGTTAATTTGGCTTTTTCCCAATCAGTAGGATGTAATAATAAACCACATAGTCACACTGCGAATCTATCATAGATAGAGCAGATTGAGTCTAGAGCTCTTATTTTGAAGAAAATAACAATGACGCAAACCGCATTTCTCTATCTGTTATCGTTTTCGAGCTACAACAGGGCATTCCTCGATTTTTGACTAAACCGAACCTTTTCCCGTTCCTCTTTCAAGACATCTTAAAACGGTTTAGATATAGAGTTACAATACAAGTGGACGTCTAAATTTATTAATAATGAATTAGAAATAGTCCATGTTTAACACGCAGTTTATGCCTGCAATGAGACAGAACCGGATTTAGAAACCTTTAACTGAAAAAAGATATTGTAGCTAGATATAGTTCGTAAAGGAATTGTTTCCTGCAATAGCATCACTTAAAAAGATAGTTGTCAGTTTCAAGCACATTTTCTGTAAGTATTCTTTTCTAGATTCCGCAAATTCTACTTCAAACATTTACACATATACAAACTGTTATCAGAAAACTTACTGCAATCTCATATCTCATGCATGAGCTGAACTGTATTTTGAAAAGGAATACCTAGTTTGTAAGTTTAATAATAGCAACATATTAAGCTACTTTAGATTTAATACCTACCTGCGCTTTTGCATTTCTATTCAATATAAATGCTGCAAATGTTCAATTTTTTATTTTGTTGAAAATCATGGCGGTAAACACATAAATTTAAACATCGTCCTCCAAAAATATCCTCACCTGTTGTTATGCTCCTGGTATTTAATCAGGAAGTTTGATGAATTCGTCAAATTTATTAAAAATGTAGGTAACATCGTTCATTGCACCGGTGTAAAAACACCTAATTAGATGTGGCGAACGGCCAAAGTGAGAGAGATTGCCAATTTTCACTTTTCTTATTTAAAAGACCACCCACGTAATTAGAATTACTAGGATTTTATTAATGCCCCAGACATTTTTAACGTACCTTTGAATGACAGAAAGCAATGGAATTATACACTTTTACTAATTGAATTTCCGTATAGTTCATTATATCTTTACTTTGTAAACCAATGTCCACTTGTTTTTAGCCAGTTAGTTTCCTGTTCTTAAATCTACGGATCATATCTACTACCTAAAGTGTATCTATGTAAATATTTTTAATTTTCAAAAATTACTTTCATTTGTCTCAATTACATCGCGTATTATTATTATGCACGAAGTAAAATATATGTATGTTAATATTTTCCCTGTATATTTATATACATAAATGAAAAAGCATCAATATCACAGGTTTTTTTACATTAAAGAGAAATATTGCAGGAAAGAAATAAAAAGATAATGAAAATTTGGAAAAGTATGATACAAAATTTACCACACATATTTTAATATAACACGGTAATTTTTTTATCTTTTTACCTATAACTTCAGTCCTTTCCCACAGCGTTAGCATAAGCACAACTGATAAGTTTTTGTTAAAATAATTTAGTTGGTACTGTTACCTACTACGTATACAAACCCCTACGTGTAAAATTTACTTAAGGCATTTCTAAACAGCTTAGAGCTTTTTTTCTATAGAAATAGACAGAATAATATACCTACCTGTATAGTTTACTAGTTTAATTAATAAATGATAAAAGAATACATATTAAGTACAAATTTGTAGTTAAATAAATTTCATTCGGTTATACCTGAACCCTACTCCTGTAGATTTAATTATAGAAGCGTTATTTTTTGAAGAACTAATAAAATAAATTTCAAATTTTTGTTTTAAATACTAACCATTTAAATTAAAGTAGGTCAGTGCACCGGTTCCAAGAAAACTTCGTGTCATTGCGCATGCTTGCTTACCCATAACACCCTTGTAAACATTTGAAGAACAACAAACGTTACATTTTTAGGGAGTAGCGTCGTGTCGTGTAATTTTTTTATATTTTGTGTGAATTTTGACTGGATTTGTAAATATTTTATTCGCGCTGTGATAAATATTAGTGGTAGTGAACTTTTTAATGATTTGTGATTTATTTGATGGATACTGGGGGATAACGTTTTATGTATCGTGATTAGGGTTGCCAGATCTATTTCATGACAGACCCGGAGAAATTGATGTCAAAAAAAAAGGTCTTTAGGAAATTTTGAAGTCAAATCGTTTACGAGGAAATCGATCCCTAAAAAAAAGTCTACAGCAGCTCAATGGACAAATTGATGTCTACATTCAGAAAACAATCAGATCTCTCAGGAAAATAAATTTCGGGGGTAGGACGTCTTAACCCGGAGAAATGACATATTAACCCGGAGCCCGGAGATGTACCATCAAAACCCGAAGACTCCGGGTCAAACCCGGAGACCTGGCAAGCCTAAATTCGTGATACTGGGCAGCCCATCAACAGGTTGATCGCGGCGATAAGTAAACAT